TTTTAAACTCAAAAAAATTAATTAAGTTAAAAATCGGGAAAGACTTCCACCTACCTGATGAAACCGTTCGGAGCGTCTTCGTCAGCTTCTGGAAGGCTTTCAAACTTGCAAAACGTAGATAATAAGCAAGTATTATAATTAGCGGGTATTCACGAACGAAAAAAAACAACTTCGTTCCTTTGCGGTGGTCAATTCAAGACTGACTTTGTCTGCTCCATCTCGCGCATGTGTAGAATCGTGGAAGTCATTTCATCAGCGCGAAATATTTGAATACAAGAACAATTGAAAAATAAAAAAAAAACAAAAGAAATTTGCTTCGACCATAATATTATCAAAGTTTTAACATTTAAGGACATACACAATAAAGAGAACTGTAACAATAGGCATTTGTGATAACCACATCCTGATAATATATTGATCATTTTTTGCACCATTTTATTGTTTTGTGTTCTCAATATTTCTTTGATGAGGACAAGACTTTCGTCTATATATTATTTCCTGGAATATTATTTTCATGTCATCCATAACAAATTTTATCTATGGAGTTTATCTCCATTCACAAATTTTTCATTGTCACAAAAATGGTATATCTTGAGAATAAAAAGAAGCAATCTCTTTCCATTATCCGTGCAAAAAAAGGTGTCTGCAACAAAGGGTCGGTAAACCAATATTCGTAATTTTTTTACTTCTGGTCATTATTGTTGTTATTTCGAAAATGCTATTTAATTCATCGGTGAATATCTCTTTAGAATTCCTGTTTTCTAACAAATGATGATCACTTTCGTTCAGATACAGGATTTGTTGATTGCTTTCATCAGCTATCTTGCGAGAAAAATAATTCATATGAATCTAGTGCTTTAGATAATAGTAAAAAGAAACAATATTGATAATTTCAAGATTTCAAATTTTAATTTCATCTTACCATTGAATCCAAGAATTTGATAACCACTATTGCTGTCCCATATTACATTTTCGATTTTTTTTTGAGGATTACGTTTCCACTCAAACGAAAACATGGATTTTTTAGTATTTTCTTCATCATATTTATCATGATGTAGAAGTTAATCGTGTTCACGCTTATCATATCCATCTTCAACCTCACTTTCTCTGCTACTGAATTCACATTTGTTATTATCTAAGTCAGATTGAGTATTTGCTATTTCTTTCAACTTTTTTGGCCGAACCTCTGCAAGACATATTGACACTTCTAAAAATACCACCAAATAAAGCATTTGACTTCAGACGGCAATGTTTTCTCACTAATATGCGCAGCCACTGAATCGCAATTTCAGAGTTATATTACATGAATCTCTATTTGCCATATTCGTTGGACACTTGTAAAGCTGTTCATTATCATTCATATCATATATTTTGAACTTACACTATACTCATACTGATTGTTTGCATTTAAAAGGAGAAATCGAATAATGTTGCTGTTAGCCAAAATGTTCGATTGGCTGGTACCACCGTTGATGTTCGTAGATTTCTTGAAAAGGATCTGGATCATGCATTTGTAGGATGGAAAGAAAGAATACCTAAGTCAGAAGAATTTGTATCACCTTCAACTAGTTTTAAGGAAGAGGTAATATTCATTTATTAATTTACAATTGTACAACTATCACCATGGTTGACAGTGTTTCTGTGTGAATAATAATAATGTATTCGCTTATTAATCATACTTCCAAATCATACAGACTGTACATAAATAACTTGAACTATTCCTTTATTCATCCCAAGAAACAAATCTGTTTATATTAGGGATTTCAACAGAATTAAAAAATATATATAAAAACGTAGTACTATGTCTGAGTGATATATATTTGCAAGCCTTCATATTCTGTTCATAGGGGAATGAAAAATATAATTTGTGTGACAGATGGCTGTGAGAAAAGGTTGTACATATATAGGTGTAACGAAGCTTTAATTTTTTTATTTTTTTGGTTGTTGCTTGTATGTTATTTCTTTGTAATTTCAGTTGTTTGTTTAATAAAATTGTTAATTTCGGTTAATATTTTTAATTTTTTTCAGGGACTCAAATCAATTTATATTAGGTATATTAGACAAGTCCGAACTGATGAAATAGATTATCAGTGTTCACTAATTAGTAAAAAATTGGGTTTGTATGTCAAGTTGAAGAATTTTCTTACCCGAGCACTGGATTTTCTGGTGAATAATTAAAATCTCATGAGTATTTTTTTGTTGATTTCTATATGTTTTCCTTATTAGTCCAACTGCATTTGGGAAAGGCAAAAAGCGAAAAAATTACCTGAGGGATGAGTATGGTCGTTGAATTCCAACCTCAGGTTGACATTATGTGTCCTTCGTAGTTTTTAAATTTTGTGGTTTTTGCTGATTGTTTTCATTTGTGTGTGGCTGTTCAACTCTCTGAGTAAATCCACCATTGGTTCTGAAACGGACAGAAAATTCTAGTATTTACTTACTGATATAAAATTTTCCACTTCTATTATTTATTTAATAGTTATTGTCCAAACATGTTTATTATGGTGATGCTGATGATGATACCACATTATTAGCTACATTGAAAAACTGATCAGTTTGAAAATATCACATCATACACCTTCTAAAGTATAAGATTCTGTCTTGATATTGATAAAACAAATGATACTCTGTACTCTGAATCACAACTTTATTCTGGAGGACAATTTGTTGGTGAAATGTTTGGCAGTAACAATACATTGTAAGATGTCATAGCAGGTTCATGTAATAAATTTTGGAAATGGATGAGCTACCTGCCTATATCTCTGTGTAGATGTCAAGGATATTGTGAATGAAAGTATTGTTCTTATGGCCTACCATGCTCTTTTTTACGCCATCTTATCCTATGATGATCTACCACGTAGTAACGGCTACATCCATCAATTTACTTTATTTTTCATTTACATAATGTACATAATTTTGTTTTTTAGACAAGAAAATATTACTTAACTGAAAAATATGCAAGAAAATGGAGAAGAAATATCAAGAAATCAATCCGAAATGGTAAACTCAATTTAAATGATACAACATGGTTGAAAGCTGTTATTTTCAACCCAAGTTCACGCTTGGCAAGACAAGTGGCTTGTAATATTATTGAGTATATGTGTGGCAATTTCGAAAGAAAAAGAGAGGTACTAAACAGCAAAATTCTTAATTATTTTGTTACACCGTTATTTTTTTTTAGATTCTCAACCTTTTGACACATTTCTTAGTGGAACTCAGTATTGCAGGAGAGAGCTCTGCTGAATTTCTTACTCTCTATCAAAACCTTATACAAGAAGTGCCTTGGAAACAATACTTGACTGTTCATGGAGTTTTAGTAGTGTTGGCACATCTTATTACAGTTGAAATAGAGAAACTGCATAAGTTGGAAGAAACTACTTTAACGTCCGATCTTGCCCAAGGTTATGCGCTAAATCAGCTAACAGAATTACTGTCGTCATTTCTTGATGATGCCTGCATCAGGAGGCAGTACAAGGGACGATTAGTGGGAGCCGTTTTAAATGGTTATTTATCTCTAAGGAGATTGGTTGTACAAAGAACAAGACTAATAGATGATACTCAAGAAAAATTATTAGAACTGCTGGAAGAAATGACAACTGGAAATGAAGAAGAAACCAAAGCGTTTATGTCTATTTGCATTGAAACTGTAGAACGATACAGCCTTCAAGATATCCTGACTCCAGTTTTTATCTTTGAGAGGCTTTGTTCCATAATTTATCCAGAAGAAAATGATGTTGGGGAGTTTTTCCTGACATTGGAAAAGGATCCTCAACAAGAAGATTTTCTGCAGGGTCGCATGCTGGGTAATCCCTACTCTAGTCTAGAGGCTGGTCTTGGGCCACTTATGAGAGATGTGAAGAATAAAATCTGTCAGGATTGCGAACTCGTAGCTCTTCTGGAAGATGATAATGGCATGGAACTGTTAGTTAACAATAAAATTATGAGTTTAGACTTGCCAGTTAAAGATGTTTATAAAAAGGTTCGTACAAGAAGATAATTTTTTTTTCTATTGAACAATGAATTTTTTGTAGGTATGGTTGGCTGAAGGAGGGGACCATGAAGCTATGCGTATTGTTTATAGGATGAGGGGGCTTCTTGGTGATGCAACCGAGGAGTTCATTGAGAGCCTCAATAATAAATCACAAAATGCTGTGGATAATGAAGAAGTTTATAGAATGGCTAATGTCTTGGCAGATTGCAATGGACTTCAGGTATGAAAATATACTGGGCTTTTTTTTGTGTACTGATACATATATTGAAATGGAATAATCAGGCTTGTTTTATGTACTGCCTGTTTATTCAATTGTCCGTCAATTATTGTGTCTGTTTAATATGTCAAAAAAAGAGATATAACTTTTACAAGTTTCATTACATTTGAACTCTCTCAAAATTCTGAATCTTGATCATCATAAAGGAACTTGTTTTTTCTCCAGTAAAGGTGGTGAATAGAACAACCATTAGTTACAATAAAACATTTCCATCAAGATATTTTGTTTTTTCAAATATCCTTGGTAGCTTAATGTGATGAGCTACAAGGATTGTAATATGCGGTCTGCTCCGACTGTGGTTAGATTTGTAATACTTTTTTTAATGCATTTTCGGTTTTTTGTATATTTAATGCATTTATTGTCGGCTGGGTTACGTTTACAATTCTGATTTGTTAAAAATTTTACTAGCAAGCCATTATATTAATAAAAATCTAAAAAATACAATGTTCCTTCTTTGTTATAATAGTTAAATTCGATAGGTCATAAATGAGATTTGCTTCATTTCATTTAAAATCGCTAGCAATATATTAAAATTCGTTTTTCTGTCAATATTAGAGGAATGTAATTCTGATTCTTAAAGATCACATGATTTCAATGTGGCTTCCTAGACATTAGTAGAATTTTTTCAGATTATTTAAAATATAATTTTGCACTACCTATATTTAAAACTTTTCATAAGTCCAGAATTTTATATCTCACTCTCACCTAACAACGTATTGACATTTTTTTATACTCCACTGATGATCTAAACGGATCCATGGAAGAAGATTGCCAAATACTTCAAATTCTTGCTTTTCGTGCTATTCATAGTTATGTTTTTCGTCGTGGTTTTATGAAACGGATATTATATTTAACAATATTTGTTTTGTTGAAAATATACTTGAAACAGGTATTATTTTTTCTGACTCATTTGAAATCAATCTACCTTTCAATGTGAGGGTAATTAATGACTACCCTTTGGAAATTCTAGGTGATGGTTACCAGATTAGGAGCTATCCCAAGTGTTTATAAAGCCAGACCATTGCTTCAGGTATTATTGAAATTGTTCAGGTTGTGTGTCAAAGTTAATCGATGCCAGGAAGTACTTATAAAGCCTGAAGTGGGAGCCATGGAAGTGTTTCTCCGTACTTTACAACTTTGTTTGGACAGTGATCCTGATTCTAGTCAAGCAGCTGTAACTGAACAGCTTTTAGATGTAAGTTTGAAAGAATATTTCTCAGATAGATTTTTGAAAGTTTCTTTTTCAGATAATGGAAACAATTTTGTCCAAAGCAACTAGTGAATCTTTAGACAAATTCAAAGAATTCTCCCAAACATTTGGTAGCCCAGAATATGTAAAATCTTTATTAAACTGCACCACCCAATCTATTGTTAAAAATAACAATGCTGTATTGGTGCATCTCACAAAAGTTTTAGCAGCTTTGGTTTATGGCAATGAAGAAAAAATGAAAATTCTTCTAAATCACTTTAGTTCAGTACTTCACTTCAAAAAGTACGATTCAGATCACAATTCCGAAGACCAACAAAAACTTGAAATGTTCTGTATCTTAACAAATGGCATTGAGAAAAATGCTATCGGAAATACTCTTAAGGACCACATTATATTGAGGGACATAGTGAAAAATGCACTTGAATATATCACAATGCACGCACCTTGTGTGAAGCCAACGTTATTGCGTGTAGATAGTGATGAATTGAAAGATTTTATTTCGAAACCGTCATTGAAGTATATTCTAAGATTTTTAACTGGGTTGGCCCATAGTCATGAAAAAACACAGGTAATACATTTTTCATTTATATGTGTACAACTTTCCTTAATTTGAATGATTGAATTCTTAGGTTGCCATTGCTTCTGCAGAAACAATCCCAATTATTCATAGACTGGAACAAGTTTCCTCAGATGAACACGTAGGTTCTCTAGCAGAAAATCTTCTAGAAGCTTTGTGTACAAATCCAGAAGTTGCCAAACAAATTGACGAGGTTCGCGACTTCACAAGGTCAGAGAAAAAGCGTCTAGCTATGGCAATGAGAGAAAAACAGTTAGGTCAATTAGGTATGCGAACCAATGATAAAGGACAGGTTACTGCCAAATCAGCAATACTTCAGCAAATAGAAGAACTTGGAGAAGAATCAGGATTGGTATGCTGCATTTGTCGTGAGGGTTACAAATACCAGCCAACAAAAGTGTTAGGTCTATACACTTTTACAAAACGATGTAATGTAGATGAGTTTGAAGCGAAACCAAGGAAAACAATTGGATATACCACTGTCAGTCATTTCAACATAGTTCACATTGATTGCCATATGAGTGCAGTAAGATTAGCGAGGGCCCGAGATGAATGGGAGTCTGCAGCCTTGCAAAATGCCAACACTAAGTGTAATGGTTTACTTCCGCTGTGGGGTCCTCAGGTACCAGAATCTGCTTTTGCTAGCTGTTTAGCAAGACATAACACCTATTTACAAGAAAGTACCAACCATAGGGATATTGGCCACAGTTCTACCATCCACGACCTGAAAATTTTGTTATTTAAATTTGCTCAAGAAAAAACATTTCACGAAGATACTGGAGGTGGAGGACCTCAGAGTAATATGCACATGATACCTTATTTGATCCATGTAGCGCTCTATGTGATAAACACGTAAGTCGAAAGAATAATAAAGTAAATCTCAAAAAACAAAGTGAAATATACTGGGTGATGCAAATTCGATCCTCACCATTGGGATCTCGGAAACTATGAGAGATACGAAGATGGTTAAATTGGGGCAAAGTTGCGTATTTACCTGACTAACAATATGCCATTGAGAAAGTTCTGAAATTCCGAGTATATCCGGAGATATCCGAAAAAAAACAGAAATTTCGGAAAATGGTTTTTATTTTTTTCTGGATTTATTTTTCAAAGGATTCGAAAAATAAATTGCACTTCCACATTGCCACTTTTTCCGTGCTACATAATGGTGTTTTCAGATTTGCTATCCAACGTTTCGTCTTTCGGCCACCATCATTAACTTTATTTTTTCTTATGGGCGCTACATTGGATTCTTTCTGTTTTGAATAGAACCAGATTTTACCTTTTCAATTATTTATCATAAGTTATCATCCTTTTTCGAAAAATTGAAGATATTGAAAAAAATTAATTCTTATCATAATTGGCTTTGACTTTGATGTTTCTAAATTTGACTTTCAATTTGTTACACTCAATGACATTTTGTTATTGAATTTTTGGGGAAAAATGGCTTTCACAAATGAATAAAAAAAAGAGATATGATACAAATTTATTACAAATAAGATAGAAACAGTGTTAGGACATCGGAAATGTATTTAAACTTGTATCCGGAAAGACAATAACCACATCGAACTATGTTCAAGTTATTTGATCAAAATCTCAACGAATTTGGTTCATTTGAAAAGCCGAGGAAAAAATACGGAGACAGAATGGACCAGGACACTAAAGTAAATTTGATAAATGAGGTATGTATGTGGTAAGCCAGACATTGTGTCCTTTTCCATAAAAATTGATAATTTGCAGAGAAACATTAAGCCGGGGAAATCTACACACCAAATTTTCTCCGAAATGAATATTTGTCATAGAAGTGCTTGGAGACATCTCAAAAAAAGTGGTTTAAAATGTTACAAAATACACATCTTGAAAATTGCATCCAAGTGATCCGGAAAGGCGATTAGAATTTTGTAATTGGCTAATAAGAAGACCTGATTTTCCTGTTTTCCTGGAAAATGTAATTTGGACAGATGAAAGCACTTTTACTAGGCCAGCATTTTGAGCATTTGCTGTGATTTACTTTTGTCTTTACATTTTAGTAATTATTGTTATTTGTTCGAAGTTCTATTTTCATCGAAAAGGGCACAATGTCTAATTTACCTCATTTATCACATTTTGATTGTTGATTCTGTCTCCGAACCAAACTCGGTGAGATTTTGATTCAATAACTTAAACATAGTTCTATGTAGTTGTCGTCTTTCGGGATACAAGTTTAAATACATTTCCAATGTCCTAACAATGTGAAAGCCATTTTTTGCCAAAAATTCAATGAATTGTACAATAACAAAATGTCATTGAGTGTAACAAATTGAAAGTCAAATTTAGAAACATCAAAGCCTATCATGATATCTCCAATTTTTCGAAAAAGAATGATAAATGATGATACATCATTGAAAAGGTGAAATCTGGTTATATTTAAAAAAGAAAGGATCCATTGTAGTTGATGATGGTGTAGCATCTGAAAACACCATTACGTAGCAGGGAAAAAGTGGCAATGTGGAAGTGCAACTTATTTTCGAATCCTTTGAAATATAAAGCCAGAAAAATTAAAAACCATTTTCCGAAATTTCTGTTTTTTCCGGATATCTCCGGATATACTCGGAATTTCAGAACTTTCTGAACGGCATATTGTTAGTCATGTAAATGCGCAACTTTGCCCCAATTCAACCATCTTCGTATCTCTCATATTCTCTGAGATCCCAGTGGTGAGGATAATTTGAAACACCTTGTATATTAGGTACTTCTAGCCTAACATTGAAATATCTATAATTAGTGTACTTCCACCGAGTGAATGCGATTATAAATGAACTATTTTTTTACATTCACAACTATCATTGAACATAATTTCACAATTTTCATATATACAGAGGGGCTGAAAAAAGTATAGCTGAATAGGAGGGATTTTTAAAAACATGCCCAGTTACTTGTCAGAATATTACTAGAGGGCATAATTTAGAAGGGGAAAATCCAGCCCAGTCCTGAACATCTTACATCTGTTTATCACACATACCCATTGATAATATTTTTTTTTATAATATTTTCAGAACAAGAGTAAGTAAACGAGAAGAATCTAGTCTGATGGCTTATCTCGAGTCAACAAACATGGAGAAATGGGTCGAATCAGCTTATGAAGCTGAAGGTCCTCTTTACTGGGCAACAATTTCCATTCTTCTTCACTCCTTAGCTCAGTGGAACTCCCACCGAATATCTCACCTCAGAAGGCTTATAATCCTTGCACATGCACGACATTGTCAACCATCGGGTCCCGCCAAAAGTTTGTCAGATAAAACTATCAAAGAATACTCTGTTTACAAACCATATCTTGTGTTTTTTGGACTTGTGGATGGAATTTATAATTGTTTCTTCAAGGTAAGAAATGGAGTAAAGTTTTGTTACTAAACTTATATGATTATTATACATGTTGACTAAAGAAATCAAAGTGGTTGCCTCAAAATATTAGGAAATGAAAATTTTTTTGTAGGCCTTTACTTCAATACCCAATTCAGGTAAAAACACATTTGAAAAATTAGAGAAAATTGGTTTTCGTGGGGTTGTTAAAAACCAACTTGACCAGTATAATTAAACAAGTCAATATAAATGAAACCTCAATTAAATAGGGAATATTCGAGACCAAAAGGTTCTATGTGAAGTTTAGTTTTGTTAATTATTAATCTTAATCAACTATTTTGTTTTGAATTTGTAGGTAAAATTAATTATTTCTTTGATAATACAGTACTTAAGTAACGAAACTTGGGAGAATTTGCAACATAAAGCAGAAAGATATTTTAAAATTATCAGTTATTGAAGCTTTAAACTTTCACGGCAGGAAGTGAAATTTGAACTTTCATTATTGTAGTTTGGTAGCTGTTGTCCAATGGAGAGATTAACTAGAAATTTTTTGCCTATAACTACGATGGACATCTTCAGCGGCAGTTGGCATCAATGCAACATAGGTCTCACTAACGAGTATATCAAGGAGGAGAATCCAACATTTTGCTGTGAACCACTGCTGACGATGCCCACCGTAGTTATGAGTGAGTCGTTCGTTAATTTCTTCATTGGATTACGACTGCCCAGCCCAGATAACCAAAGTTCAAATATCAGTAATGAATTTTCAACTATATGCTAATGAAACATTAATATTATTGCCAAAATTCAAATGTCTGAGCAAAAACACTCTTTCGAGACACGCGTTTTGCATACCAAGTGTCAGGAGATGATGAAAATTGATGATGCTAACTTGGTTGACAAAACACAAGTCAAGAGGCAGGGTTTTTGTTCTGGTGTGGAAGTGTTTTCTTCGGGTACTTTAATTTCCCTATCAGCAGTTTTTTAGCTACAAAGATTAGTTCCCCAAATATCTCAACAATCTGCGATATTGGTCTCATTAAGTACGTTATCTAAGTAAATTCAATCCAAAATGAAAATATATCTAATGAGTTCGTTTCATTTCAGAATGCTTCGGGTGCAGATGATCAGTGGCCAAATAATCTTGCAGATTATATTCGTCATAATGATGAAGCATTAATGAAATCTTCGGAAAAGTTGCTGGGTATATACACAGAAGAGTTGTTGCCTTGTACTTCCTTCCCTGAATTTTGTGATGTGGCAGGTAATGCAGTTGAATATTTTATGAATATCGGTATCTTAAATTGTATATGTATCGATTGCATATTACTGGAGTTTTATCCCAACACCAAACCGTTATTTTCAATATCTCGACACGTGTTTCAATCACCAAGTGATCATCTTCAAGAGATATTAATCTTCCTCTTGAAGATGATCACTTTGTGATTGAAACACGTATTGAGGTATTTTAAAGTAATATTCATTGCTACACAAAAGGTTTCAAACACTAGTACATCTCGATTGCACACATGTCTGGATCATCCCTCAGGTGGAGGTAACTCCTATGCCTCTCTCACCAGAACTGTCTTCAATAGCTGTGTAAATAGCATTCTTGTTCCATATCTGGCTGAAGTAGATATACATGATGTTATAAGATCATAAAAAAACAAAAATTGTGAGAAGTTTTCCCCTAAACTTTTGAAAATTTCGCACGTCTCTATTATAACTCCTTCTACAAGGTCAATCGAGCCATCCTAAGCCATAGTGAATTTCCAAATATGATGTAAATATTTCGAATATTTCCATGTCCAAAAAAAAGGGATATTTTTAATGAACAGTGATCAATATTACCATTCAACAAAGCATTGAAAAACTTTACTGGTTTTGAATATTGAATCAAGTATTTGAAAATGATAAATATATTCTTTATTGTCTAAAGAACAAAAATCCTTATCGACAAAGCATATCTTACGTTGAATAGTATAAAAAAAAGACACATATCAATCATGAAAAATAAACCTAAATAATTTGAAAGGAAACAAGGTACATCAAATCGAATACCACATCAGACCAGGGTAATTACACTAACACAAAATGAGTTTTAGTATTGGAATTGAATCCGATTTGAAATTTAAAATATTGATGCAGGTCTAATAATATATACAGAGGGAGAGAAAATAGTAATTGGCTAACTCATAAAGTTTCAACTTTTGGTGTCCCGCAAGGTTCGGTTTTGGCCCCAATTTTCTATTTGCTCTATGTTGATAATAAAGAAAATATAGGTTTGATGGGTGATCAAGATCTTGAAATTGACAGCAAATTATTCAACCAAGTTGAACAACATAAATATTTAGTCCTAATAATTGATAAAGATTTAAATTTTGAAAATCTTATAAATAAGATAAAGAATCGATTGTACCACTGGTTGGAGCAATCAGAAGAATACATTCATTAGATATCTCATAATTTGGTCATCCTGCATTCAAAGGGAAAAAATATAATTTATCGTTTAATGAATGAAGCTATAAGCTAATATTTTATAAACTATGGGAAACTCTACCTTTGGAACTAAATAAAATAACTAATAATCTTTGAATCATTTAACAATCTTTAAAAAGCTAAATTTGTATATAAATTGTTTAAAAATTTCTTGAAAAGTAATATTGAATTATTAAAAAATTCTAAATTACATGATCGTAATACAAGAAGTTTCAATAATTTTCATCTTGATTTAATACATACTACCAAAGGAAAGTAATCAGATTTTAAATTGTTTAGAAGTGAATAAATTTTTACATGAATTGCCAATATTTTACCTGTTTTTCTTACTGAGTGAAGTTTTCAATGCTTTTTAAGGATTGTTGCGTCTCTAATTTTCCTTATCTCTAGTGGTAGATTGTTGGATGTTGAGTTTGGAATAGGTAATTTACTATTTTCTACCTGGCGAGTACTATAATTCGTTTGGGTGGCTTCGAAGCTATTGATGAATTTTTTTATCAGGAATGCAGTTTCCATTATGAATAGTGCTACCATCAGAATTTTATACTTGATAAATTATGGTCAATACAAATCTTGATTTTTGCTTTACCGTACCGTACCGTATTGCCCTTTTTAATTGGATTAAAATGTGAGATACGATTAGTAAATGATGAACAATCTTTGTGGGGTGGAGAGGTTCATATTTGATTGACTTCTAGTGTCTTTGTCTATCTGCATGTATGGATGTACAAAAAATACATTTAGGTGAATTTGTTGAATTTAATAATGTACATCATTCAGGAAAATGAATTGTTGGTGTTATATTTTGATTATTTTTTCAGGTCTATTAGATGATGTGGTCAGTCCTGAAACGTACATTAGTGACCTGTTGAATGGTACATTTTAGTTTAAAAATATTTTGAATTTTAACTCCTATACAAAGGCTGTATACCATTTTATTGTTTGCTTGCTGCTAGATTCAAACCTGTAAGTAGTAAATATTTGCTTATTGTTGGAATTTTAGAAAACTAAATTATTGTACCTATTATTGAACAAATATATTATTCAATAGTTCTGTTTTGTTTTTTATTTTCTGAAGTTGTCATTTTTTATTAGAAAAATATTACTATGTATATTCATACTACCATTGGTTTGCTCTGAAGCAAATTTTTATTTTATATTATTTTAATTTTTTTATTATTAAAATTTTTAATTCATAAAAAAAAAAAAAGGTAATACAAATTATGAAACAACAAAAATTAATTGGCGCTCCGGATTGTTTACAGTGGTGCATTTGCCGGAGATTACCATCGTGGTAATCTCCGGTATTTTGGATTTAAAAGCCCACAGCGCCTCTGGAACAAAGTCACTTCCAATGTGGCAAACCATCAGCCTTTTTCCTTTCCCTAAAATCAAAAAGTAATTTTTCTTCTATAGTATATACCCAGACAAATAAACCAGCTGAAGATGGCAGCCATCTTGATAATGCAATGAATTGAAAAGCCTGGATATCAAAAGTATAATTTAATCAGCTGAATAGATACCAAAATTGTAAAATATACATGTACGAAAGTAAATAAATGTAAATAATATAATAGGATTACAATTTACCCGATGGATTTTCAATCCTGTTAAAAGTCCAAAGAATGCCTCTCATTAGAAAGTAATAGAATTACCATCCCAAATTTTTTATTTGGTATGTCCAGCATTTACCCAAGTCTCGTTTCGTCTTGAAAATGAATCTTTGTATCTTCATTCCTATATAGGATTCGTGGTATATTCTAGGATGCTAGGACCACTCATCTTTGAGTAATATTGGATTTTCTTGACTCTCATGCTTATACAGGTTTGGAATCATTTCCTTGGTTTTTATGTTGAAATGAGATTTTTTCGATCTTTGACCTAGGAGACAAACACATTTCCGAAGACTCATCAACTGTATGTATCCCTGCTAGACAATGACATATTTATGTGTCCTGGATATACTACCAAACAAGTATTTAAACAAAACACTAGAAATTTCGGTATATGCCCGAGAAGCAAACACTTTTATTTAATATACTTCGAAAGTATTCAAATAAAACAATATCGAAATTACAAGGAATGGTATTTAAAAAGATACAATTCAAACAACACAAATAAACTTAATAAAATAGTTGCTAGGGCGATACACTTCACACTGAAGGCCTTTTCTACTCTGATCTGAGTATGCATCTGCATAAAAACAGTAAAAAGCATTTGTAGCTGCACCGTATAGAAGTGTTTACTTCTATACGGTGGTAGTTGTCTGCTCTTTAGACCAATACCATTGCAGATTCCAGCAAGCCACGAAGCGATCATTATTTGTAAGTGCTGAATCTCGGATTAGAATATGTAGTATATTATAAATGGAAAGTCACTCACTCATTCATCTGTTTATCCATACTGGTAAGTCCTAGGAAGTTAAAATTTGATAAACAGGTGCTTCTTAGTTCCTAGCTGCACACTAAGAAAGGATTTTCAAATATTCCAACTGAGGAGCCCCCCGTGGGTGTAAAAGGGGCTCTGTAACATATAAAAATTACCTTTTCGTCACTGTTTCTCCATACCGCTTTATTTTCGGAGGCTGAAATTTTGAATGTAGATGAGCAATAAGAAAGGATGTTTAAATATCCCAACGGGGTAGCCAGCCGCGGGGAAAAGGCGTGTTCTTTTTTTTTAAGGACAAAACACAAGCACTACAGGAAAATTCTTAAGGCGCTCTCAGAGCGGTGCTTGTGGAAAGTAGCGATTCCCATTGGATCTGAATCGCTGGAGATTAAATCCATTTGAAAAAACGTTCTCAGGAAGTTAATTCCACATGAATGCAGTTTTACAGATAAAAGACTTCTTAAACAGTGAAGTTCGAGGTGTACTGAGTTGAACCTCAAAACGATGAGCAGCCACAGTCCGTTGCGTATTTTTCTGATATGTACCGTTCTTGGTGGAATCAAATGTGTCAAGCCACTTGAACACTACCCATTAAAGTATCTATAGAAGAGAGACAAATCTCCAACCTGTCTTCGATGTTCCAGGCTATGAAGGTGATGTTCGCGTTCCCAATCAGGCGGATGGCTCTTTTCTGGATGGAATCCAGCAACTTCAGGGTATGTTCAAGGACAGAGCTCCATGAGAACAATACTCCAAAGAAGGTCTGATCTGAGCTTTATAAAGCATCAAACATTGCTGAGGTGTGTACAGTTTTTTGGTTTGGAACAGTGTTTCAAGCTTTTGAGAAGCAGCCTTTGCAATTCCAGCGTCATGATTGTGCCAAGACATATTGGTGTCCATTTTAACCCCTAACAAACTTATCGAAGCAGAAAGCGGAATTCTCTGGCTTGACATTATTATATCCGGTTCAGACATTTATCTTCTTGGAGAAAACCGATGCTGGGTTTTTGTGGCATTAAATTGAGCCTGCTTACTTTGACCCCAATTCGAAATCACTTCTAGAGTAAGATTTAAGATATGCAACCTCCTGCTGCCAGTGAAGATGTGCCTCCGTAGCCGATGTCCTGGAATCCAAATGGAATGACGAGACATCTGTGCTGTCGTCAGCAAAGCAGTATATTGGATTCGTGTTTTTTTCCAATAAGTCGTTGATATAAATAAAAAGAGGGTTGGGGACAATATGTATCCCTGGGGCAACACCAGCATTGATGGTAAAAGTATTTGAGAAATATCCATTGATGGCCACTTCTGAGAACGTTCTTTCACGAAGCTGAAGAGCCACATTCAAAAATGATCCGACAAGCCATAGCATCGAAGTGTGGCCAGCAAACCCTTATGCTACACACGGTCAAAGGCCTTTGAAATATCAATCATAAAGTAAAGGTACCTTTTCATCTCCATGCCCTGAAATTTCCGGTGGGTACATTTAGTATCAACATTGCACCTGTGCGGACTTTGGTAGTATATAATATGAAGACAATTCGAATGGCATAAAAACTAAATAGTTACCGAACGTCGGCAGTTTTTTTGTATGGTATCGTATGATTAGACCTCATACGCGGTCCAATAATTTTTATGTGGGAGGTTTTATATGGTATTAACTAGTATATTTATCAAGCCCGCCTACATTAGTCTTTCATTTAGCTCTTCGAATTGACTTCTTATAGACTATACTTTACTTGTTTGCATATTGAGATATGTGTGAAAATTCATTAAAAACTGTCTGACTGGATGTTTTATAATTTGAAAAATGAATGGGATATGAATAAAATTATTATTGAGAATTTTGTCAACTTCTTTGAAGTTATAGAGTGTTTAACTCGCAAATTTATTATTTTTTCTAGAATCTGTTTAATAGGGGTATGTAAATTTTATATATAATCAATATTTATTGATAAAATGGTTTCTACTGCTACTTCCACATAAATCGGTTTTCATACCCGATTTTCTAGTAATTAATATACATGTTGAAATCTTGAATATTTATCAATAATCACACCCAAATATTTCATTGCCCTAATATAAATTTAGTTCCTTTTTTATTTCATTTCAATAGGATGTAAAAGGAAGTTCAACTGTGCAACAACACATTTAGTCAATCCAGTGTGAATAACTGAAAATGTTTGAAAATTTGTACTTTCTGGCATTGTTAAAATAGAGCAACCATTACCAATGAGTAATTGAATTACTCAGTTTGAAGTCTTTTTTCTTTATTCCTGTTTTTTCAGTGTCCACTGGCTCGTTATTCTTATTATACTTGATCATTTCTGATTGTACTCATCAATTCACAATATGTTGAGTCTTTTCAACAGTTACTTTTCCTACTACTTGGGAGTCCTGTGAACATTGGTTTCTATTTTTTGGGGGTCTAATTTCTCTAGAAGCTGTTACGAAACACATTTTTGTACAATTGAGGCCAAAAAGAAACACAATTATATAATTTTGCATTTATATTATCATATTTATTTATTTATTTGCCACTGAGGTACAGTATGTACATATGGTATGTCAATAACTTAAAATATATATATAGAACATAATAACAGTGTGATACGAATAAAATAGGTAGGTATTTTATTTATCATATATGTGTATATACATATATGCATATATACACACATACACATATATAAACATACATACACATATATAGACAAGACACGTATATAAATTCCTTAGTAAAAATATGGAACAGGCGTCGAAGATAACACTAAATAATAGTAAGAGGAAAAAAATAAGTAAAATCATCTTCCAGGAATTCATCACAACTATAGTAACATTTTTGCAGCAGCAATTGCTTTACTCTACCATGAAACACTTTATCAGAGGTAATTTGTTTGATCTGCTCTGGTAATTTATTATACAGATTTATGGCATTATACAAAGGGGACTTTTTATATTTCGTTGACTTATGACTTGGAATACGCAAAACATCACCACGACGTGTGTTGTAACTGTGCACCGTTGCGTTTGTTTCTAGTTCATGGATGTTAGATCTAGCAAATCTTATACATTTAAGAATGTATATGGAGGGAGCCGGTAATAATTTTTCCCTAACGAATACTGGTTTACAGCTGTCTCAGTGTTCAATGCTGAAAATTAGTCTAACAATGCGCTTTTGTGCTAAGAATACTCTGATGAATTCATTACTGCAACCCCATGCTATGATATTGAGGGATATATGTGAATATGTCATAGCAAAATAGATTTCTAGTAGACCTGCTGTGTCCATGCATGATTTCATTTGCCTTAAAGCAAAGAATGTCTTGTTTAATTTGTTGCAGACATCTTTTATTTGCAGATCCCATAATAAGCTTTCATCCAAGTAAATTCCTAAAAATTTTACCTCGCTACTAATCTTTATTTCGTCAATAGTTTGTAGGTCATCTGGAACATTATTTTTCCTATTATAGAAATTTACTATTACAGTTTTTGTGGAGTTTGATATTAATCTGTTTCGCTGACACCAGGAGCTAAAACTATCGATTATGCATTTTACCTTACTAAGCATTACATCAATATTTCCCCCTGTAACTGTGATAGTGGTATCATCCGCAAACATGGTGAGGTGGCAATCTTTCAGATATTCTGACAAATCATTTGCAT